TATGGCCATGGTGGTCATCAGTGAGTGGAGTGCCTCAAATGTTTAGAATAATTAAAATAAAATAAATGTTGTCAACTAAAAATTTTGAACGTCATAGCTAGCTAGACATTATCTTCAATTGAAAAAGAAAATTATAAAGCATAATACTATAATTCTATGCTTAAAATGTATTTTCTTGTGGCCGCCTGACAACAACCTGTACATCTGGCGCGACAGTGAACGTGTTAATAAGTAAATGTTGTTCAAATTATATCGTGTTTGATATCATTTTCATCAGAAAAATCTCAGAAACATGTTAAAAAAAGTTCCAGATGAAAAAAAGTAAAATTAAAGAAATTATATTTTTCTATTATGATTTGTCGAGCCGTGAAATCTCGTAAAGGAAACCGACTGGTGTAGCGTTACACGCTTGACTGCTGCGAGCGAGATAACATGGGCGCAACAATGAGGCAGCCTAGGCGTAGGACCATCTATACTGTCACTTGTAGAATCCAAACTTACTGACTCTTGTAGAGAATTTACTGTAAATAATTCCTTGGAATGATCACGCTCTGTTTCGCTTCTCAATGGAAAGGGTCAGAGTATCGGCAGTATCGATGCATATCGGTAATGCATTAAACGGATCGTGATGCAAAACCTGTGGTTACCTCTAGCTAGACAATATTACACAGTGAATGATTCTTTTCCTACAGCACACGAAGGTCAAACAAGAAAGGAGTGAAAAATTACGAATTTACGAGATTGAGGGGTTGTGGTTTAATAGAATTGCCAAAGGGTAAATAAGTTGGAATAATTTTTTTCTATTTTTTTGTTCAGAAATATATAAATTCTTAAAATTACCTTAGACTCTAAAATTCTAGATCAAATGTAAAATTTTCTTTACTTTTTGCCATTTCTTCCATCAAAAAAATCTGTCATCCCCTTATTCACCCTTTGAAACCATTTAAATTAGGTATAAAAATATTGTCGTACCACCGTAGCTAAAAGAAGATAATTAAATGGCACACTCTGTCTAGTAACAATATTAACAGTGCATTCAATTAACTATGCAAACTAAGGTATTAATAATACAATACTTTCGTTGTTATTCAACAAGAAGAATTTTGCTTGAGTCAATAATTTGCTTCGCTCTTACTAACCAAACGAAGAAATACAAATGTTTTCCTTATACTTTCTTTCCACGCGTTGTCTTATAGGTCATAAAACAATTTTTTTCTTTCTTTTTCAAGTTAACGTCTCTCTCGTGATAAGTATCCACTTTCACAGAAATTTGTCTTGATTTTCACGGTACGAAAACGTAGTCAACCGTGATTTATATGCTCGCGTAGAAACTGGTTTACCTCTTACATCGTAAACTTTACAACGTCGTATTAATATTTGCGAACGCGTGAAACCATTTCGCAACTTTCTTACCATCGTACCGCAGATCTTTTCATTCTTATTCCACTCGCGTACCGAACTCTATTTTCCACGTTTCCCGTTAATTCGATTGTAAATTGAGATAACACTTGAATGAAACATCGAAATGAAATTTAATTCACAAATGGTACATGCATATTTATATCGCGTTAAATTCATGATAAATTGATTGCCTATTTAATTTGATTTAATTAAGCAAATGAGCCGTTACTTTTGAAAGTGGCATTTAACGAGCTAATTAATGTTTTGCATTTTATCGTTAAAGGCTAATAGTGAAATAATGTTTTCGCAGACCACACAAATGGACTTGTGCAACTTTCAAAAAATAATTACCAGCGATACGTTCTTTTCGTAAAATTAACCGAAACTATTAATTTCAATGATTTTCAACCTATGTATTTATTTTCTAAATCAATTCAGAAAATTGAACATTTCACGTTCTTTAAGTACACTTGGAGATGTTTAAATATCTGTCGAAGAGAAGAAGAAATAGAGAATAATAAAATCTTGGATTTCTTTTCGATATTACTAACACTGGTTGAGAATTCCATTTACGGTAATGATATTAACCTTTATGGCGACATTTCTAGTATTTCAGTTGCTAGATGGAGAAATACACGGGCAAGAAAATATCAAATCGTGATGCAGTTAGAATACCAACGGAAGAATGATGAATAGACACGTACCGTTTTTCCTTTTTTCTTTCATCGTATTTATTATATAATCGTTAGTCAACACACTGGATTTCGTTACAAACATGTTCTGCAATTGTTTGACTTTCTAGAAACAAAATAAAATCTATGGAATTCGGGCGAAACTCCTTAATGAACTTATTGCGCTCGACGGTTTCGTTTCGTAAAGAAGAAAAAGATGTCTCGTAACACCTTATTAATTGCAAAATGATAGAAATATGTATTTTTCTTAGGAATTTTCTTAGTTTATTATAGTTACTGAACTTCCTTGTGTCGGACGGTCGAAGTATTAAAATACATATTTAAATATTAATTTACCAATTTTACATATTTAAAATTTCAAAATGCAAACACTGAAAATACTTAAAAGACAAATATTGAAAATACTTTGAATGCAAATATTTAAAATACTTATACTTTGAATTTAAATTATCACAGAAAATTGAAAAAAAGAAAAACTAATTATCATAGACTAATAACAATCCTAGATAAAATATGGTAAACGTGCAGCATATTTTCATCGTTGCAATAAGTAATTACCGAAGATACACAGCAAATTTAGAATTCCAACAATACTACACTATTTTTTAACCATCTAATGCTTCATTTGCTATACACAAGTAGATACACGTACAGCACATATGAAATGTGTGCACGTAAATTAAACACAGAAATTCTAGGATAGCTGTCAATTACAGATAAAATAACTTCTCCTTTAACGAAGCATTCAACTGATTTAATTAAACAAGTCGAACCGAACGGCACATTAACACGAAGAAGTCAACTTCCGTTTCTTTCGTTCTACTCCTTAATTTACTATTAAATGTCGAATTTACGTAGGGATACGATCGCCCACGAATTCAGTAACTGGAGCAGAATTACCACTTTCTCGATTGGTCAGCTACACACTGTTTCCCAACATCGACATCGACGACCCAATTTGGTCTCTAGCAGCAATGCAATGGGGGCAAATTATTACCCATGACATGGCTATGATCGACGGAACTACTCAATCAAGTAAATATACCAACCTTTATATACTATTTTTTTTCGTTACAAGATCATTTGTACTTCAGACTATTTGTTCACCCTTCATTTCTCTATCTAATGAGCTCAGTTCCTTGTGATATATTGATGAAGGTATTTATGATTAATTAATTTGTAATTCTTTTATAAAATGTACAAAAATTTTGCTTTTTTTTTTTGGTACTTGTTATTGCGAGTCAGGATACTTTGTGCAACCTGCAGGAGAATGTGTAATTGTGTAATGCAAATATGGTTAAAATAATCGCTATATTTGAATGTTTGAAAGTAGTAGTGTCAAATAAATTATGTAAAATTATGAAGTTTATTCGAATATTGTATTTATATCTACATTTTCGTTCATAAAAAATCAGAAATTATTCGAACGGTGTTAGAACCGGTTTGTGAATAAATATCTCGTTTTACAAGTTGAACGTTCTGAGATACAGTTCTACTTTTCTACCCTTAAAAATGTAGATAAAGTTGTTTACGAAAATGGTCGATTAAATTGCCTTTCATTTGTGAAAGTGAGATAGTTGAATGGATTTAGGGTAATACGACTTCAGATCGCGGAAATGTGAAAAACAGAGAAACAGATGAAAGGGTTATTTATGAAGAATATCATTTTATGTTTGATATTTCTCACGTAATTGGAAAAATAGTCATTATGAAAATTTCTGTATTAAACTGAACAGCAATAACTCTATTTACTTGAACTACAACACTTTCGTTATGTTCATACTGAAATACACAGGGAAATCTTTTAAAAAGTGTAAAAATTAATATTTCAACACAAAAAATATTACACGCTGATAATAATTTTCTTATGAACAGATATGCAAATAGGATTTCGAAAATGTAGAAATAGCAAGTTGACTTATCCTTAAATTCAGTCAATTATTCTAAATGCATCACGTAAAATACATTAAAGAACCTACTCTAACTCTAGTTCCTAAAAAATCACACCTTTTCATGACCCGATTACTTTTCTACAATATTTGTTATCCATTAAAATGAGATCAATTGTTATTCCAGTATTCAAATACAACATATGCATCCCACTGATCATGAAAGGGTTAACGTCTTTCACCGAAACACCCACAATTTATATTGAATATATTCTACTTAAAAAAAGAAAACAAGTATAAAATCAAATCTGCAAAGTTTATAAAGAAAATAGGATTTTCCAGGTTACCGACATTCCGTTGCAACTATATTTTTACAAAAAATGTATAGTTCAAATGAATATAGAGTTATTGACCCAGGTCGCGCATACTTTTCTTCATTTACCTGTAATTACTTTTTACATGACAGAACCACACGTAACGCAATGCTGTACGGACGATGGACAATTGGTAGACCCGTTGTTACTTCACGGTCATTGTTATCCCATAATTATACCTTACAACGATCCCACCTACAGCAAGGCAAACACGAGATGTCTCAACTTCGTTCGTAGTACAACTGACCTTGACCGAGGCTGTTCGTCCCAGTACAAACCAGCAGAACAGGTTTGTATTCCTTACACCTGATGGCTTCGCTCGTTCATTTGTTACTTCATCCGCGGAAATCGGGAGTGTACAGTTGGTCGAAGCGATACCGCGAGGTCGTCGATTAACCCTTCGCGGACGGAGGACTATACGCCACGTCGGAGTACTGATTATTTGTGTAACACATAATTCGGTTGCTACTTCAGTTTTTTCTTTCTTTTTTCAAAGTAAATTATATCAAAATTTCATTTTCGTCGAATGTACGTATATGAGTTCGCGATCACTTCAAATATCTTTATTGCTGAAAATTGTGAGTTTATTGGTTGCGTTCATAGTGTTTTATGAACGCGTATATGAGTCTATCGTCCTCGAAGGGTTAAAGCGTTAACCCTATAGAACCCGATTTTTCCTCGTTTACGAGAAGAAAAGTTACGGTTCATCCTTCATGCTACAAAATTATGATTCGATACAATCGTGTCTCGGGTTACTGACGCTTCTGTTTATTATAGAAGCTCATCAATCAGCTGATTTCCTGTTCTGATATTTTGCACAAATTGAACTTTCATATTCCTTCCTTATATTTGAGAAAGTGTGCTCTATTTTTCTTAAAAGTTCACCGCATTGTCTTAACCGTGTCTCTTTAAATGCCAACTTAAGGAATCCCCGGATCCTCGGATTACGCGTACTTTAAAGCTTCACTGATTTTACGACCTCGCTATATCGCTTTCACCAACTATACCTCCGAAACCAGATCCTTAACGAAACGTGTTCAGATTGCGAATATCGATTACAGTACACGATTACACGGAAATATAAACATGAAAGTATTATAATTATACCTTGCACTTGACTGAAAGTATTAATCATTCTGTCGATCATTGGTTCGCGAAGTTACGCTATAGTAAACCTACCGAAAATCACCTGTTGTCAGAGATGGACTGTTTCCTTTTATTTTAGAGAATTTAAGAGAAATTTTTTATAAAGGAAACAAGAAGAAAACAATTTCTTGTTTTTAAATTACATTTGGCGGGAAAAAATGCATATTCAAAATTTATAAAATAAAAATGTGTCATTTTGGTTTCTAAATAGTGTCGTAACGTTTATTAGGCTATCAAGCCAATTCTTGCTTAGGATTTCAACTATTATCATTTCTAGACGATGGTTTAAATAAAATATTAATATGTTTCTCTGGAAAATTATTTCGCCAAGTTTTTAATTTGTAAATTTTTCAAAAAAAGGATCAACACAGTTTGTATAAAAGACTATTTAAAACTATTTAAAATTATTTTATTTATACTATTCAAAATTATTTTAAGCTGAATAGTAAATATTATATACGAATGATGCTACGATGTTCATGAGCTTCAAATAAGTCGAAGATTCTGATATTGCAAGAATGAGAATAATTTTGTTGAAAACACTAAATGTAACAATAAATATTTTCTTTCTACCTGAAACGAAAAACGTATCTACTCCAGTTGAAACGTTTCATTAAATTTCCTTAAAAGGAACTGGTCTTGAAATAAATAACACGTAAAAATTTTCATTCCACTGTTTCAACATTCCACGTAGAAGGATCATTTGTTACAGACGAATGCCCCTTTTGAAAGTATTAATTTACGGCCTTAACGATTCGCGCAGGAGCATTTATTCTAGCATTTCAACACTTCACATTGAAGCATTAATTCGAAGGTTTCAACGTATCATAAATACGAGGACATCAATTCTATGATTTCTAGTTCTTGCACAAGTGCCAATATGTCATGCTTTTTTATCACATCCGAGCTATAATTTTCTTCGTGCTCTAACACCCGTGTAGCTGTTCTGACAAATTATGATAAAAAGAACATTTTACCTATTTTTTGCTAAATTGATGATACAAATGAAACGGTAAAAGGTGGAATTTGTTGAATGAAATTCGAAACTTTTTTCGATGGGATGAAATGTAAACCAATTAACTATCATTTACTGATCCTCAGTCTTACAAACTGAAACGAAAGTTAGAATGAAAATCATTCTTTGTTACTAATACAGCTATTTTTCTCGCACCTCGTTTAGATCGAGTTCACATTTAATAAGTGTCCTAACACGTTCTACCCGATTCAACGTGCAATCTCACGATGCTGAAAAATTTAATTTCCAGTTGACTGTTGTTACACATTACATGGACCTCTCTCTGGTGTACGGATCTAGCGCTCAGATGGCGGCCAGTCTGCGGGCTGGACTCGGTGGCCGCATGAACGTAGACATCCGACATAACAAAGAATGGCCACCTGCGGCAGTTAATAAGAGCCAACTCTGCGAAACCGCGGATCCTAATGAAGTTTGCTATCAAACTGGTAAGCCTTGACGAAATTAGAGTTAACGCGGTAAATAGTATTGTTGACAACACCTACGACCGATCGATAATAGTTTACGAACGATAAATAGGTACTCTGTGCGGTGCTCAGGAGTTTGCCCGCGGGGCAGTACAGGGGCAAGAAGGGCACTTCGCTCTCACCGCCTAAATTTTAAATGATTCGATTCGTCGACGTGATCACGTCGGTTAATGATGACAATATCAGTGCCCTATTTTTGTGATTGTGTTAGAGAAGGTGGAGTTATGAGGATGTGACCCCAATCGGACCAGCATCCCTTCCAGAGGTAAACTCCTGAGAACTGTACAGTATACTTGGAAACCGAGTTTATCTTTGTTAGTTGCATATTAATTTATGGGGTGAAACAGACGAATCTGTGTTAGAAACTGTTCCATTAAAATGTTATCCAAAAGTTTCCTTATTTACCAACAAAGGATATCACTCTCTGAAGAATTTTTATCTACTTATATTTCATTTTTTATATACAGGGTGTCCTAGAGTTTTCCACTTCGTCAGTGTGTTCTATTATATTTCTGTAATATTTTATTGCAAAATTGTAATGAAAATATGAAACGTATATTTTGGACCGACGAAATCAGCTATGTAAATATTTTACATTAAAAATTTTCAGCTTTTTTCATATTTTCGCAAAAAATTCCATTTCTGTGTACATTTGCAAGCATGAAATACAAACAGATGCGAAAGTAAACGGATAAATTGAAATTTAGCCGATGAAAAATACGCCTGCGTGTATTTAATCAACAGTGACTGCATCATCGAAGTCCAAAATATGGTTTCATATTCATAAAAGGGTTAATAAACAGTGAATGTTCAATTTCTTCGAGAAGAATACTTGGATTGAATTTCTAACATAAAAACTACTTACTCTTACAACATATTCCTCTTATAAATTACATTAACAAATGTTAATTACATTTTATCAAAATTTTTCGAAAAAATATAAGAAGTATACGTAAAATTCAGTCTAAAATCCTACTCCACGATCTCCGAACGATTTCTCCCCGTTCGTAGTAAAATTTAACTTGGCAAAAACTTTCTTCTTAATACTTTTTCCAATTTTTACCATAGCTTTCGTCATTTTACCGTTCTACTTTCGTAAAATGTTTCCACTCGTGCTATTCATTAAGAAGTTTTTTTTCTACTTCTTCTCAGCTAGCTAATAAAATTGTTAATAGTCTATATGCCTCGTGTCCGCCACATGTTTTAATTACCTATTGACGTGTGTTCATTTTTATTTCAGGCGACACCCGTGCCAATCAGAATCCCCAGCTGACTGTTCTACAAATAATATTACTTAGAGAACATAATCGCGTCGCTGACACTTTAGCCCGTGTAAATCCTCATTGGACAGACGAAACAATTTTCCAAGAGACGAGACGAATTGTAATTGCAGAACATCAACACATTTCATACTATGAATGGTTGCCAATATTTTTAGGTAAAGTTGTATTTTCGTTACAGTGTAATTAAATTTACAATGAAATAATGGGATATTTTACATAAAATTATACCAGGTAAACAAGTTTCACTGGAAACAATTTGTTATTCGTTATTTTGATAAACATTAAGCATGATAAAAATACAAATTTTGATACGTGTATTAATATTTAATTTTTTCCTCGAAAATTGTAATTTATTTTTACCATGCTTCTTTGTATTTCATTCTTTTTTTTCTCGAAAATTGTAATTTACTTCAATTATATTTCTTTGTACTTTATTATTTTCTCAAAAAAAGAAATTAAATACTTAAGTAAAATGTGTATTTGTGCAACGAATCGAAGGTAAAATAAGAAGACTGTATAAAAGGACGATGTTGTAATTATTCAATTTCCAGGCGTGGAGACTACATATGGCAATCAAATTTTGTACCACACCAAAGGTTTCGTGAACGACTACGATCCAAATGTGAATGCACATGTACTGAATGAGCATTCGAACGCAGCCTTCAGATATTTCCATTCTCTAATCGCCGGTTACCTCAAGTATGTTCAATTTTAATATTAGAGTAGAAAAAGGTGTAATGAAAATTTTGCGGAAAATTGTAACATATTGATTCGATACTAACTTATCCAATTTTAACCCTTTTTGTAGCTGTCTTATTATAAAAAAATAAGTAAGTTAAAATTAGCTACATCAATACACATTTCATCATACTTATTTTAACATTCAATAATACTTTTAATAATTAAAATAATTCAATATTTAATATTTTTTTAATAACAGAAAAAATGTTTCGGTGCGTTTCTGCTGTAATATTTTTCTATTAAAACTAAATAATTTATCTTAGAGTAGAGATACTTAAAATCTCAATCTTTATTGTTATAACTACGATACTCAACGATAGAATGCAACGAAGCTCTAAATTCTCGTATAATTTCTATTTTTCTTTCTTTCGTGAACTCTTTAGTCTGGTGAGCGAGCATCGATCTTCAAACGGCGCCTTGAGGCTCAGTGATCACTTCAACAGACCAGGAATTATTGAAGAATGTAACAATATGGACGACCTGACGAGAGGCATGGCTTATCAGCAAGAAAAAGCTAGCGATCAATATTTCGATCCAGAGGCGAGTGAAAAATTTCAACGAATCCTGTGATTAAGACGAATTTGAGTTTATTTCAGATCACGAAGCTTTTGTTTAGAAACATGAATCGCTAAATTTCCGTTTATTTCAGATCACGGAATTTTTATTCAGAAACGGAAGACCGCTTGGATCGGATCTTCGAGCGACAGATATTCAAAGGGACCGCGATCACGGTCTCGCATCTTACAACAGTTTCCGCGAGTATTGCGGCTTGCCTAGAGCAAAATACTTCAACGATTTCACAGACTACATTTCACCTTCGGTAGGTAGCAATTTTACACGAAACAGACTTGAAAATTACTGGAGCAAATCGGATCAATTTAAAATCGCGAAATGGAAATGCTTTAAAATATCGAGTTTTAGAAATTTCAACTTCACGTGAGTTGTGTTCATTTTTGGTTTTAATAACTCATTGTAATATTAACGATAACCAATTTATTTCGCTGGAAAGTACTGCCGTCTGTAATTTTCGAAATTAAAGAAATTTGAATATTTTTTTCATATTTAAGATAAGGAATATTTCGTAATTAGTTAATTAAAGCATTCGTAATTGCATTTAAGATATCAAAAAATATACTCAAAAATCCAAACCCCTGTTTTACTTTTAAGAATTGGTACAATTTTTTAAAATTTACTGACTTTACCATTTAAAGCGAGATATTTGTAATTAGAAATTGACAGGGTACTAAATGTGGTATAATTTCTTCACAGACGAAGTAGTGGGGGAAATTTTGAAATTCAAGTTTATTTTTTTCAATGGAACGCTATATTTTGTTTTTTCATAATATGACCGCGTTTGCTGAGACGTGCTACACGAAGAAGTAATTATAATTGTATACTAACTTTTGTTTATAGAATGTGGCAAAATTAGCTGAATTGTACGCCAGTCCTGACGACGTCGAAGTGACCGTAGGAGGAGGGTTAGAGGCACATGTAGCAGGAACACTTTCTGGTCCTACATTTTTATGCATTCTTACTAGACAATTTTATCGAACGCGAGTTGGTGATCGCTTTTGGTATGAAAGAGGCAATCACGAAGTAGCGTTTACTATAGGTAAATATTCTACTTTGCGATTAATTTTATTGCTTCGAGATTGATTGAGGTTAGATCTTCCTGAGAAAATTAATTGAACTTTTAATAAAAACGCATAACTAACGCATATTCTGCATTAAAAGAAAAAAGAAAGTACAAAAATTTTACGAAATGTAGATAATTTTCCAATCAAGCTAAAAGCGACAAAAAAAATTTTATTTGGATTCTAAATAAAAACATTAGAATTTATTAATTATTTCTAAACGAACAATTTAATTGTACTTTTTTCAGAGCAATTAAATGAAATTCGAAAAACTAGTATATCCAGATTATTCTGTGATAATGGTGATCATATCACAAATATGCAACTAAAAGGATTCCGACGAGTATCACAAACGTAAGCTTTTCATTATTGCATTATGGTATGCTTTATGTTTTAATGGCTATTCTGATTAAGTGTATTCAATATTTCAGTAATCCTATCACGAGCTGCGATAATATTCCATCAATAGATCTTTCGTTGTGGAAAGATTATGCTCCTCAATTAGCAGCACATCAAAATATACAATTCCTACACTTTAAGAAGTAACAAAATTACGAACCATCTCTAGGGAATATTATTAACGTATTACCAAATATAAATTTTTTAGGTACAATTTCGTAGACACACGAAATATTATTGATAGTTGACGTAATGTTATTGTAAAAAATGTGACTTACTTGTGAGTTGTGTTTTATAGTATTATGAATAAAATGTATTATTTTTTTTTGTAAAATTCAAGTCGAACTTCATTGTCGTCCGATTTTCCAATTTCCCGATTATGCTACTACAATATACATATGTATCTTTCACGACTAATTGTAAACATAATTTATACTACCTTTAAAATGAACTGAAAAAATTTTTATCTAAAATTTATTATTCGTTTTAAGCTTTAATAAAAGTTAAGAGGTTAAAATTTTAGATGTTCTTAATTTTTTATCACTGGTCAATTGTAAGGTTATATTTTCATTTCGTCTTCACTTATTTACGATTCTTCGTTGAAATTTCTCTCTGATGAAAACAAATAATCTCCAATAGATAATGTAATAATAAATTTATAATACGAGAAGAGCGATATAAAGAACACGTGACAGAAATCTCATGTAAACTAACGTAAGTATACATTTTCCAACGATTGAAAATAATGAATAGGCATGTCGTGTAATATCGGCGATTCGCATTCGTAATCATTGAAACAATTTACGCCGTAAACTTTGCGGTATCGTACAAATATCAGTATCGATGATAGATAACAGATTAAACTTACGATGAAAATAGCTCTGAGAAAAGACTTGACATAGTTTGAAATATTTTAAATTCTTAGTATGACTGACAGAGAGTTACTGCAATTTTTTATTGATTTGATTAATATTTCGATTTTCATTCCAATCGAGATACTACTACTATATTTGTTTAACGGTATATGAATACTTGATGTAAGAAAAAATATAAATTAACCTTAAATTGGTAAATAATAATTATTTACTTTTATAGAAATTACTTTTATCGTAATAATTTTGAAATCCAATTCAGTTTATGTAATATGTAAACAAATAAAAATTAAATTATATATGCATGCAATAACTTATTAATAGAATTTTTCTAACATTAGAGAAGAAAGAAGGTTAAAATGATCATTACAGTTGAAATTTATAAAATCTGCGCAATAACGAAAAAGAAATACTTAGCTGTAATTTATCGGGATTGTAGAATGTTTTAATTTATCACATGATATTACTACGTATTTTATCAAGTCACTGTTTATTTGCAATATATTCTAGCATAAAATGGAATTTACGACTTATTCCAACGCGTTCAATAAACTTTCTTATCTTACACATGTTTACGACTGTCTGAAGAACGTTTTCTATTAAGAAAGGAATATCGAATCAATTTCGAAACGACCACTTTCAAAGGGTTTACAATCACAAAGTTTTTATCAAGATGCACACCTTCGACTGAGACAAAATTTTACACAGGTCTAAAAAAAATACTAAATCTATAAAAATCTTTTAGAGGTTATCATAAATCTTTTTTATCTTTATATTTATTTCATAATTCATCATATATCAATTGACATAATATCTTATAAATTTTTCGGAAGATGGTTAATTGAAAAGTATATCGTGAATCGACGAAAACAGAATTGTTGTGAAATAATTGCAAAAACAAATCTCTATATATTGTCGCTAATGACGTAAATGTCGATGCGGCATAAAACCCAAGTATAAAAAAAAACAAAACATCTCTATGTTGTGAACTCTAAGCTTGCAAAAACACAAATTTCGTATTTCGAAAGTAATATATTAATACAAAAGCTTTGGGATTAATTAACCACACTAACAAAGTAAATAATCAAAACATAAACATTCCATAAATTACATTCCAGAATACTAGGAAAATCCAAGGTATGGACTAAATAAAAAGCTGTTAAATTAAAAACAATTCCAGATTGTTTTATAATAAAAACTTTTATTTTTATTTATTAATGCCATTAGTATAAAATATTTCTGAGCAAACACAGATGATTGTATACAGTGTACAAGTATATACACAATAATGATACACAATATTTATAAGGTACTGTGAAATTAATTGAATACTTCCTGAATTGCAATCCAGCAATATTGATCAACACAAATCATCACATAATTAAATATATTCTTGTTAAGTTTGTGTGTATTATAAAATATTTATTTCTTTATTGTGTATGTATGAGTTTATCAAGTTGTTTTGATGGAAGTATATAAAAGAATTAATAGAATCACTTAGTTCTGTGGATATGTTAAACTACATAGCACACATACATATTTTGTTACTGCCCCATGTGGTTGTTTCTGTGTATTTGTGTGTATGCAAAACAAAGATATGTATCTCCTACTTTCACAAAAGTAAATTGTTTGAAAGCAAGATCGTATTAATAATTTAATACTGTATTAAATAACAAAATTTGTTCCCCTTGATTTTGATTTATAAGGCAGTGTAGGTTTTGAAAATATGTTTGTAATTTTATTGTGCAAATGCTTAATGCATTCTGGGAGAGGAGTATGTTCAGTTAAATTTTCTAACAATGGTCTCTTAAAAAGCCTCTTTGCTTCCTGACGTTGTTCTGAAGTCACTGTTCTGTCATCCAGATGTACCAAATTAGGGAACCAAGATATAACATATAACCTTTTTCCAGAAAAAAATTTACAAGAATAAAACACAAAACGAACACATATTCTCACATTATTATTTACAAACTTGATAATGTTTTGTTTTGCACTTCCGTACCTGTATTGAAGATAATCATAAAATGTTCCACCATTTAAATAACTTGGTGCTGCCTTATTACCCATAAGGCACAAATATCTGAGGTTGGGTACACTCTCATAGAGATTCTTAATAAATGGATACAATTCCTCTACACTATTATTATTTAACCACAGAAGTTGAAGTTTTGGCATACATGGAAATACAGTATGGTCATCTATCTCATTATGGTCTAAGTTTAAAGATGTTATATTTTCAAATTCAGCCAAAAATTGTAAGTTTCATTATATAAATTTTATGTAAATTACATAAATATTTTAGATAATATATACCTACCTACTAAACTTATTATGGCTAATATCCAATGTACGTAGAGTATTACCATAATTTTCTATAATGTCAAATGGCATATAAAAAAGGTTCTCAAAAGCAAGTGATAAGGAATCAACAACGTCTACAGATGGTTTATCTGAAGATAAAGACTTTGGGTGTCTACAATGTAAATCTACAAATATTAGTTTTCCTAAGGAAGTCATGGCAAATTGTTCCACTTCGTCTGCTTCTTTTTGTAATTCTAATTCATCACTATAATCCAACCTGCAAAAATGTTATTCTAGTTAATGTAGTAGTAATATTCCAAACTTTCTAATTGTAACTACCAAATTTTCTCAAGTATATGGTATTTAAAGGTTATTTAACATGTAATTATTAAAAGATTGCAAAATATTGTTTGGAATAAAATACATACAATACATTAGTACAAATCCTATACTTTGAATATTCTACTTTTAAAATTTTATCCCAGAATCCTATTAATCTGTCAAATATGAAATTTCTGGAAGCTACACTCTAGAAATGATTTCCATAACTTTTTGTTTCAATACTTAAAAACATTTATGATATACAGCACAGAGAACTTGTAGATATGTAAACTTTCAACTATCTTTGAATGACTAACAAGTTACTGATAAGAAAACACCTGAAAGAATCTTTAATTATAATACTTACATTATGCCTTGACCTGTATCACCTTACGGGGCAGTAACTTCAAACGAACAATCAACGCGTTAGAATCATGCAATACACTTTTCACTCACTACATTTATCTATACCATTCACCCTAACACCAATTAAAGCTACAGCTTGCATTGACAGATAATATTGCGTAAATAGAAGATCGTGTAAGGCTGTAAGGCTTCAGTGTAATATGCAATGTTGCATATAGTGATTGGGTCAACCATAGTGAGTCTTCCTGCGATAGATTGATACTGAGCTCTGATCCGCGAAAGCAGTATGTAAAATTAATCGTTTATCGGATACCAGTTAGCGATAAGATACGAGTGAACCAGATTCGCAGGTAAAACACTATCTATATTATAAGCGATTTGAAGAGAAGCGGAAAAGTTTGAGGTTAGAATTTTGTCGTTATATAACATTAAAATGTTAGATAATGCGTTAATAACGTAGGTGACGTATTGATGATTTTAACCGGTAAAATGAAGTACGAATTACTTCAAGTAATACACAATACTTACCGAGTTTTCCTGCATATCTTGCTTGGAAATCTTCGCACCGGACAAGGTAATAGGAGGTCGAATACTTTATATTGCTGTAGTAAGATGGTGTTGCCAGTGAACGCTTGTCAACTGTCACCATGGTTTAGGATCGAAGTGTGTATCGATTAATCGTTTTGCTGAATTGGCGGTAATTCGTGCTTATAATCTTTTCTAACAATTGCGTAGTAGAGTCTTTATAATCTTTTGTAACAATTGTGTAATAAAATGTTTGTAATCTTTTCTAATAATTGTGTAATAGAAGAAAATATTATAATACTATTCCACAAATCAAAGGTAATTCAAATAATTAATTCTTTTAAAATGTATATTGTACGTATTAGAAATTTCATAGATGCCTGTTTAAGGAAATAATTTTAAATTAGAATTTAT